AACATTTATTTTTTTAATTAAAAACTAAAATTAAAAAAAAAACTTTATTCAAGCCACTAATCAAAGAACAGTTTTTAAGTAACAAAAACAATAAATGTATTATTTTATAAATGTTTGAAAACCAAAATTAATAAAATTAATATTTTGTAGAACTGCCATTCTTTTCTAAAACACTTTGCAACCTTCTGGGCATGGATCCAATCAAATTTTGCATATTATAATTTTCTAAGTTATTCCATTCATTTTGAATTGCATTAATAAGCGCCGGTCTATCCCTTGGTCTGAATTCATATTTATAAATTTTTTTCACCAGATATCCCCAAATATTTTCAATCGGATTTAAGTCTGGGCTCCTCGACGGCCAAGGAAGCGTTGTTATATTATTTTCATTCAGCCAATTTTGAACCACACGAGCAGTATGAATTGGTGAATTATCCTTAAAAAATATTTATAGGTATATAATTAGGAAAGGTTAATTAAAAGGTTTTACGTGTTGAAACACAAAATCATCATCAAATCGTTCTCGCACCGATGGAAGCATAATATTTTCTAAAATTTCCCTATATCGATCACCCGTTAATCGGCCTTCTACAATGTGCATTCTATCAGCCCCTGATGAAGATATCCACGCCCAAACATGAACAGAAAACCTTCCGCTGTTGTTAGTTTTGTGGAGGTATTTTTCATCAAACTTGTGGTTTCTGGGGCGATAAACACGCAGTTGCCCATTGTAACACGATTGGAATATCTTTTCGTCTGAAAAGACGACTCGCTCCCAATATTGTTCATTTTGATTAAGGAAATTATTAGCAAAGTCCACTCTTGCCTCTTTGTTAATATTAGTTAGGAAAGGTTTCTTAGCACTTACACAGTTGTAGAGGCCTTGTTCTCGAAGCCGTTTCCTAGCCGTCCTGACGGATGCTGGGAAGTTAGTTTCCTCTTTTGCCTGGATCGAGTTGGAGAATGGATTTTGCCTCACATAATTAACTAACTCATTATCATTTATTAGAGTGGTTTTTCTTGGACGTCCAGAACCCATTACCCCTCCCAGTTCACCAGTTTCCATCCACTTTTTATTTAATTTTTTAATCGCGCTTTTGCTGCAATTGATTTCATTAGCTATGCGTTGTTGGGACCATTCTTCTCCAAGTTTCGCTATAATATAGCCTTTTTCGGCTTCACTTAATGTGTGATAAGGCATAACAATGATTTATTACTTAACTTAAGTAAAGTCTTAATAGATTTGACAATAACTGTCAATATTTATTATAATAATTATTTATGAAAAGCCACTGCTAAAAACCACAGTTACAACTATAAAATTTGTCGATTACTTTTTTTCGGCCGCAATAGTACATAGGTACTATATTATACTTAATTTTATTATACTTAATAATTATTAACCTATATATTCTTTAAGGTAACTCATTAGTAAATATTTAAAGGCATTAAAAAGTTTTAGTATTTTATTTCTATATTCTTTAAAATATATAATAAATAATTTAGAAAAAAATTATGTTAATTAACTTTTGTGTAAGATTTTAAAAGGTGCATATGAATTTTATTTTTATTATTTAATTCTTTAATTACAAGCAACTTATTTTTTACATCTGAAATTTTGCATGTAATCTCGTCATTGCTTATCTGAAGAAACTTAAATATGCCAATATTTCCTGATGGAAAAGGATAGTTGAAATAATCTTTTTGTCCTAAACATTTTAAAACAGTTATATCATTATTATAAACTGACTTAATTTTTCCATTTTTATTATTTTTTGTTAGTATAAATGAATCCTTAAAATTATTTGATGAGAAAAATATTTTTCAAATCGAGTTCCTTTCTTACTATAAAACATGTTTTGATTTTCCGACAGGCGTCTCCACTTGAGCTAAAGGCTTGTTAGGTGTTTTAACTAATTTTACCAGTTTTCCAAAATAACTTTCAAATGAAAAACAGCTTGAATAATTTAAATTAAGTTTTAAAGTTTGGACATCGCCAGTAATATGTAAAATACTATGTACAGTTACGGAAAGAAGTAATGTCCATTTAAATGCTCCATTGTAATTGTTCGGAGGCATTCGGGTTTTGCTAATAAAATTAACATATCTATTTTTAAACTCAATAATTCTACCTACCTGCTATTTACCATTCTTTCTAAGCACATTTCATTTGAGTTTTAAGCTTTTATGCAATAATTAAATATAAAAGGAATAACATTGATTCTGAAATAATTTAAATAAAATATATGTTCTATAACTTATTAAATAAACTATATATTATTTAATAAGTTGTTATTAATAAAATAATATATTTAAATGAAATATAGACATTTAATACTAAAATAATTATAAATTAAAAAAAATGCATTTTGTGCACTATTAATACGTTTTTATACTTCTATTGCATATTATTGAAATTTTTTGTTTTTTTTTGCGTAACCAATATAACCGCCCGGCCTATCAAAGTGAATTATATTATATTATTATTATATTTACGTTGTTAGGTATCAGTGATTGGCTTATTTTAATATTCACTGTTATTTGAACCAATCGGGTTTTACATTAGAAAAAAGTAAGGTTGACAGATGTCAGATTTATTTATTTATACGAGGGGCGACTATAAGGATCTTTAAAATAGGAGAAAAGTGAGGTTATAATAAATTTTGTTATCAATGAAAATTACTTAATTGGAGTAGAAAAAACATAGTATTACACTCGAAATAATGCGCATTATTTACTCGGATGAATTACGTATCTCGTCTGACGGCTCGACATGCAAACCTTATCCTTTTGAATAATAGCCTGCATTATCTCTCGTATAATAAATAATAATATACTATCATCAACATTTTAGTTTTCATTACTTGTTTTATGAAATATCTGCCCATGTATAAAATTACAATAAAATATGGAAAAGGCATAAATTTATAATTATTATAATAATTTAACTTGGTATTCCGAAAGGCTCTAAGCGTCAAAAATAAAATTGTGAGAAATAAATGAAAATCCATCCATCTTTAAAATACAAAAATAATATGGAGAAATTTTTTTTAGTCGTTTTGCATGGCACATAGACTATTTTTAAATTATAATATAATATTTGACCAAATTTGGTCCAAACCCTTTGGGAATGCCATGCTTCAACTATAATAATTATTGAGGAGCATCCGTGCAAAACCGGCTAAATCCATTTTATTCAGTTTTTGTTTTTTTTTTAATTTCGCATCTTTGGGTTCATTTCTATCGACAACCAAGATAATTCTGTTTAAATCCGACTATATCCATGTTAAACTCACATTTAAAAGGTATCTTTAGGAGCAAAACCGGCCAAATCCACGCTTTTATAGCAAACCCGGCTATATCCAATAAATAATACTGATGATGAGCATGTGGCTTGGATATGTCGATACTACTAATAAAATTTGTTCTGTTTTTTCATGTTTGCACTAAATTTATTTTGTTAATATTTTTGAATAATAAAGGTTTTGTTTTCACATTTTATTCGTTTTTTATTCGGTTTTTGAGCAAAACCGGCTATATACAAAACATTTTTTGAAATTTTGGCCTTAATATAAAGTTTTTGAAAACGAAAGTATGTCTTATAAATCAAGTACCACAAAGCCCACAAAACTCAAGTTTGCTTTTTCTTTTATCTGTAAAGGCCAGGAAACCGAGAGTTTTTGCCATTTTCCCAACATTTTATTAAAGTGCATATAGCCGGTTTTGCACGGATTCTCCTCAATTATTAATGTAATTATTTACCATTTCTTTTTAAATAAAAAGGCAGCTTTCTTTGCTCATGGTTTTAGATAATATTTTCCTAAAAAAGGGTCCTACTAAATTTTACCATAAATTTTGTTTCGCTGAAAAAGTTTGAAAATATTGAAAATTTCTATAAATTCAACTTTTACCTTGAATACCTTTTAAAAGAGCCCTACCAAAATTTGTTTCAGTTTTACTAATCCGAGTTAAACTATTTTAAAGTATTTTAAAAAAATCTCATATTATTTTAATGGGAAATAAAAATTCCCGATGAAGGACCAGTAAATGTAATATTAAGAGCTTAAATTTTAACAGGACCATTTTTTTGAGATTCTGAAGAATATTTTTGAGGTGCTTTAAAAATAAATATTCGATATTTTTTATCAAATATTTAAAAATTTGTCCTACATTTAAAATATTAATATAAAAATTTAAAATATTAATATGAAAAAATAAGAATAAACGTTTATAAAACTATACAAAAATATATCAAAAAATTAACGATTTAATAAAACAGTTAAATATGTAAAATACCCAAAATAATTAATTCAATACGAGCAGGTAGTAAATCCCTAAGAGGCAGATGTTTCCGAATGTCTCCGAACAATTACAATGGAGCATTCAAATGGACATTACTTCTTTCCGTAACTGTACATTATAAATTAATGAGTAAACACCATAGTTTTTTTCAAAATCGCTTACAAAAGATAAAAGCAATTTTCTAGCATAGTTTAAGTTATGACTGGAAAGATCATTAGAAAATAGTATCCTTAAAGCAGAATTATATAGGACTGTAAGATGATGTATTAAATAAATAAATATAACAGAAAATGATGGTAAAACGCAGATGGTAATGTTTTTTAAAACTATCACACCCGTGTATAATGCAAATAATCGAAATTCTGTGGCTTTTCAGTGGACTAACTCGTAAAGTCCTCTCGACTTTCTATTAAATTCTTCTGGTATAAATTTTCCGATATACTCCAAGTATTCTGATATTTTTTAGCGTTCTCGTAAATGTAGTTTAGTTGCAGGATCTGAATACCAGTATTTAATTAGTTTTTTCATGACTCCAAGAAAACATAAATGCATGGAATCGAGTACAAAAAAAGTTATACATTTAAAATTTGTAATCTGTAAGAGGGGTGTGACAGCATGATGGTGTTCTGGTTGTTCCTGGGTACTAAAACTTTCATCGGTTCTTAATGTGGCAGTAGTTTCTTTAAATAACATTCTACCTTAGTGGTGCAATCCTTGCTGATTGCATCTTTCGCACCCATATTTTCCATTATGGCCCTTCACGCACTTAAAGTAAGCTCTTGCTGAAGCAACGTAAAACATAAAATTTTTATCGAATATAAGGTACCATTATGTTGTAACCCAGACTCTAGCATCACATTGATTTCATTAATAAGTTAGGCTTACTATCTCCGCAAAAAATGGCAACTGGGAATGGATATATATTAAAATTAGGTATATACATTTTTCATAATACTGGCCAAAATTGTCGATTTGAACTTTTACTGAGTGGCACAGTGTTGCCAACTTCCCCAGCCCCATAATAGTACAAAATGAAAAATAAAATAATAGTACATTTTTCAGGGAGTTGGCGAAGAATAATTTTTTTTTGGCTGACAAAAAACCTTTTTTTGTTCATCTAGTTTATGGTGGGTCTGTTCGTAGCATATATCTATCACAAGTGATAGATATATAGTTCGTAGAGACTGCGCTTCAACTAACAACTAATTGCATTATTGATGCTACACTAATATTCTAAGAAGTAGTATTAGTAAAATTTAGGAAAATGCAATAACATTTTTAATAGATTTTATTTTAAAATAAACCAATAAAATAGATAAAAAAATAACAAAAAGTGTTTTCTGAAAATATATATTTTATATATACAGGGTGTTTCATACCAGGAGGCGAAAAATGAAATTCTATATTAAAAACGTCATTCTAAATAAAAATCTTTAATACTTTTTTGTTCTATCATTTTTCGTTTTCAAGTTATTCGAGTTCAAAGTTTTGAATTCAAACAATGAAAGGATAACAATATGCAATAATAGGATTCATAATTCTAGCAACTAAAATATACATCCATGGAAACGTATAAGTATTTAAGTTTAAAATACAGTTCATTTTTTTTTATCTGGACTGCGGCAACGTTGCAAACTTAGGGGTTTAGTTGGCAAATATTTCTATTATATTGGCAGCTATAAAACTAAATTAATATTTGTGGTTAAGAAATCAAAAAATATTTACCTAATAGGTTTTTGACCAAAATAGTATTTCGTTATTGTCCTGTAGGATAATTATTTGTACAGAGACGTTTTTTAAATCACATAAATACATTGGAGTTTGATATTCCTCTGTTTAAATTTAATGATTTGACAAAAACTGTCAAATTATGTAAAACAGAGATACCAATCCTAAAAATACTAATCTAACTGACATAAACAACCAACTTAATAAAAAAACACTAGTCCAGATAAAAAAAAATAACCTTATGTGGTCTTCTGCCTTATTTAAGTAATACAACCTGTCAGTTTATTGCTAATATGTCAGCAAAAATTATTGATTGACAATTGACCAATTTGTAGTTATACTATTTATTTTTATCTGTAATATTACAGGACATTTTCAAAAACATGGCCTTCAGCATTAATACAAGCTTGGCACCGCAAAACAACAGAATTGTAAACTCGTCCAAAATCTTGTACATTTTGTATTTGCTCCGCCGCATCTATTATTCTTTGCATAAGCTGCTCTTCGGTGGTAATTTCGACTGCATAGACAAGCTGTTTCATGTGTCCCCATAAATAAAAATCAAGCGGGTTTAAATCCGGTGACCTAGCAGGCCACAATATTGGGCCACGTCTACCAAACCACCTTCCATTGAAGTTGTTATTCAACCAATTCACTACATTTCTACCAATATGGGGTGGTGCCCCATCGTGTTGAAACCACATTCGATTTAGCAAACCCACAGGGACATCTTCCAGCATTTCATTAAGTTCATTTTGTAAGAACATTAAATAAGATTCGGCATTTAGTTTATTGGGAAGGACTATAATTGTCAGAATTCGCCAGTTGAAAATGCCACCCCAGACATTAATTGAAAATCTCTGTTGGAAATGTCTCACTCTCATAGCATGTGGATTTTCCAACGACCATACATGTTCATTATGGGTATTATTAATACCATCTCTGGTAAAAGTAGCTTTATCTGAGAATAGAATAGAAGAAATAAAATTTGGATTTTGCTCATGTTGACGAAGCAGCCATTGACAATACAGAAGTCGTGGCTCGTGATCATTTGGCTGCAAATGCTGAACATTTTGCTTATGGTACGGGTCCAAAAAAGCTATGAGAAACTTCCAGCCTACTAGCAATACGTCTGGTACTAATGCCGGGTTCGTTAAGTACAGCGTCAATTACTTGCTCTTCTTGACCAGCATTGTGTCTGAAGTTCGCACCTCCTGTATGCTTGCTTCCAATACCATTTCTTCGGAGTCTTTGATATGCGTCTGAAAATACACGGCGGGATGGTTGTCGTTTATTTGGAAATCTACGCAGATATTCTCGGGAAGCTGCAGAAGCATTTCCATTTGCGTACCCGTAAATAAAAACAATGTCTGCATATTCTTCATTCGTAAATTCCATTTTGTTTATAAATTTACAATAAACTGACAGATTGTATGACAAATAAGGCAGAAGACCACATATACGTTTCCATGGATGTATATTTTGGTTGTTAGAATTATGAATCCTATTATTGCATATTGTTATCCTTTCATTGTTTGAATTTAAAACTTTGAACTCGAATAACTCGAAAACGAAAAATGATAGAACAAAAAAGTATAAAAGATTTTTATTTAGAATGACGTTTTGAATATAGAATTTCATTTTTCGCCTCCTGGTATGTAACACCCTGTATATGTAGTGTGATTATATTTGTCTGGTATTTTTTGTATCATGTTTGATAAATGCCATTTTAGTCACAAGTTTTAATTAAATGAGTGTCTATAAAAGTTCGTAAATGAGTTGCATAATATACTTTTTCTACGACAAATACTTATTATTATTTAAAAATGGTTTAAATTAAATATTTGTATGGAGCGACATTTATAAAATAATAGAGTAAACATTCTTGGGAATCTGTATTACCGGCCGATGCAAATATCAAATTTTTGTCTATAAATCGATATGTATCCGTTAAAAATGGACAGTTTTTTTAAGTGAAGAACATGTTTTATGGGCAGTCCACAGTGGAGTATGGTTTACTGCCGGCGAAATTAAAAGTTCCGTACAATGTTCATATAACCTTTTCAAACATGGCGTTAAGAAACTATTTAATACTTTTTTTTGTGATAATAAAATTTTTTTCATTTAGTATTATTTTACAAGAGGGGCACTTTATTTTAACGATTGTATGACATTTGACAACTGCCATAAAACCACAAATTGTCAATGTGTATTTAAAAATACTTAAGAATCTAAATTAACTAAACCTTGGGGAATAAACCCTATACCATATAAATCTATATTTACTTATTAAACTTAAAACCTTTTAACCTGTTTTAAACTTGAAAACATAAACCCCATAGGGGAAAAATGTAACTTAAACAGTTTAAGTTACATTTTTAGTTACTAATAATCTCGCAAAGAACACATTCATTAAACTTATTGTAAAAACTATATTATTTAAATACAACCAATATACATCTGACAACCAATATTTGCGAGTTTAATTACTTAATATAATTTCCTCTCTTCCATCATTCCTTTCTAGAAGCAAATTTGAATAACACAACGTAGGTACCTTACCGACCAGACACTTTTTTAATTATATTATTACCTTTTCCAAATAAAATGCAGTGGTGATGCCTTTTTTTTAATTACAAAAATTAAAATTAAAATTAATTATTTTTAATAATAATTATTATTATTATAATAATAAAACACTGATTAAGCACAAGGTGCATATTTGCAAAATTCGTTTATAGACCAAAAAAACTGATTTTTTTTTTAATAGGTACATATTTTATATGTTTATTGGTGACAAATCAAGAACGAGTTTTTATCTTTATTTTTGTGGTCACACATAAACTGTCCCAAGTTAAGTCACATATTTTTTAATGGCTTAAATTGAACACAGGATCCCTTATCTTTTACATGCTGTGAAGCAAGAAGTGCCCCATTTAATGTTGGTGTTATAATTTTATTCCTTAATTTGCTTTTAATCAAATTTACTGAGAAAAATTTTCTTTCACACTATGCATTTGAATGGGGGATGGAAAGAACTGATAAAACATATTCCGATAATTCGTAAAAACATTTATCGTTACAAGGAGTTTTGTATTTTAAAAATACTGCCCAAAACTCAGCTTTTTCCATATCTAGTTTTAAAGAGGTATTTTGAATGAAGGTCGGCAAGGTTCGCCATTGATCATCTATCAATTGGCAAATATTTTCATTTTGTGTTGATAAAAACCTTTTTGATATTTGTAAAATTGGTAAAAGAGTAGGGTGATTATCTCTAAATTGGCTGCATATAGCATTTTTGGGACAAAAATAATTTAAATTATTTAAAAGCTCATCATTAAAATTATATCTTTTTTTGATTTCTAAGCAGGCTGTTACAAGAAATTGCTGAACACGTTCATAAGAATCATTAAGTAGTTCTTTATTATTTTGAATTTCTGGTTTAGCAATTTCCTGCATAACATTTATTCCCAAATACATATTGGGCTTATGTATAAAATGTAATTTATTATTGGGGTTTAAATCACCAATAGCAGTTTTTTCAATATACCCACGGTTCATGTAGCATTTCAATAATTCTATATAAAGCAGCCTTATCTTTAAATGCAGTTCTGTTACAACAACATTTTCTGTTTGAAAATACTTATTAAAATCCGTAAATTTTGGCAGAATCCATTTAGGGAATAAAAAATATAATTTAATTAATGGATCTTAAAGATCTTGAGTTATTTGCTCACTTGCCAGTGTGCGGTCTAGTACCCATGAATTTGTAAAATAAAGTTTTAAGGCATCCCACTGTTCAATTATTCTATTAACTACTTCATGTAAGTCATCTTGTTTGTGATGGGTGCAATATTTTGTGTATGTCTAGATTTAAAAATATCTGAAATTCCTTAAATGAGTGCTGTCTTTTAGCACTAGATTTAATGGGTAGTTTTTTACAAGTTTTACTGGCACATAAATGTGCCGAGTGAAACACACACTTCATAATAACAATGCCAGGATGGCTATTTTTAAACCT